CTCCCTGCAGTGGCGAGTGGGAACTGCCCAAATCTCCGAAGCTTTCGAAATCTTTTCCAAATCTATTTAGAGATCTTTGGATTGATTCAGACCTTTTTATTGGTCTCCTGATTCGATTTGGATTTGGAGATTCAACTGCTGAATCAGGCCGAATCTCCTCTGAATCGAATCAGCATCCGAAGCTTCGCACAGCCCTAGAATCTACACAACACACAGACCCTGCCCCCAGCAGTGGTGAATCCTGGTTTGTCCTGCAGGCATCCACAGCTCTCTCCATTCATTTCCATGGGCAGCATTCAGACACCTCTGAAGATGGCCCCTCAGTTACACAGGAGGTGTGTAGGATCCCCATTTACTCCCCCAGTGAGGAATTTTAACTTGTGCTATGACAGCCAGCTGCTCACAATCCTACCTCCCTTGGACAAGCATGTCTTAGTAGGGTCTTTTTTTCCTGGCAGCTAGAGGTCTGCAAGCAGAATGAGGATCCTCCTGCACCATAAATTTCCCAGTGGTTAGAGCATGTACTTAGGAAACGGGAGATGTGGGGGTCTTGGACCCTGCCTTGGCATCAGGAGGTTTGAATTCAACACCCCTTCCATCGCAGCTCTGTGCCTTAAATCCCAAATACAGGGCATATATGGTTCTGAGACTTCTCATGCAGCTAACCTGCTAGGTAGCCAAGAGGGAACAAGCTATGGGACCAGGAGGAGAGCAAGGGAGATGAAGCTTAGCACTGTAGTCTGAGTGGATGAGTGCTGTCCTGGCAGGGAGGGAAATGGAACCAAATATCCTCCTTTGCTGATAGTTTTCCAAGTCTGCTGTAGTGTCTCAGTATCTGGAACTCTTTGCAGAACAGGTACCTGTCTTCAAAGCAGGTGTTTATCCCAGGGATGTGTATTGCCTGCAAATGAAGCTGGGTTTTTTTTGTTTTCTGCAACCAATGCACCTATTTCTAACTTAGAATTACTCAAAGTTAGTAAGCCTAGTTTGCCCAGTCTCCAGACAGGGTGAATTTAATGTACTGTATATAGCCACAGGACTCTCTCTATTTTTTTCAGCCAGTTCTTGGGAAGGTTCCCTCCCAACTCTTTTTCCCCAGTCTAGATCAGGGGTCAGCAACCAATGCCTGCAGGCTGAATCCAGGTTGCAAAGCAATTGGATCCAGCCTGCAGTGGTGAGGGGCTGGAGGGGTGGAAGAAGTGGGGATTGGTGACACAAGAGCCACAGTCCCCAAGTTCTCCCTGCTGTGTGTCAGGCCCCTCTACTGCTGAATTTCTTGCTCGCCACAGGAATCAGCCAGTCAGTGGCGAGGGTGAACAGAGGCTTCAGGAGAGGGGTGAGGTGCTGCGGAGGGGACTGGCAGTCTGAGGTGGAGGATGAGTCACCAAATGGCAGTGCATCCTATGTGAAAGGTTGCCAACTTCTGGCCTAGAGTGCTAATCATCATTAACATCATTATTCAAATTTCACAAAGCACAAAGTGTAACTGATGTTGACACACTGAGGTACAGTACAGCACATCCTCTTTTGCGTTTTTAAAAACCTGCTGACATTTAAGGAATGGGTATTTCTTATCAGCAGAAACAATTAATACGTTGATAGTTCAGCATTATTCAGATCCTCTGAGCTCTTTGATAGGGCTGCGCAAAGCTTTGGTCCCTGATTAAATTCGGCAGACATTTGGCCTGATTCAGTGGCTGAATCTCCAAATCCAAACTGAATCAGAGGACCCTTTAATCTCTCCGAATCGATTTGGAAAGATTTGGCAATTTGGACATAGACACAGCTTTAAATGTTTTTTCTACGTTCCTCTAAGTACCGGACAGCTTGTGAACGCTGCGATGGTGGGGCACATGGAGCATCCCACAGGAGTGTGGGGAGCTCCCCAGTGCGCTCAGCAGCAGACCCGGAAGTGGACCAGAAGCAGTTCCGGTCCATATCCGGGTCCGCTGGGAAATGCACTGGGCCTCCCCGCTGGCTCAGCGACTGGTGCCCCCTGGGTATGGGGGAGCACCTGGAGTTCTCCCGCAGCCGATTGCTGGGCTGGGGGGACACAGTGGCCCCCCTGTGCAGTCCCAGGCAGACCTGGAAGTACTTCGGTCCACTTCCGGGTTAGCCACTGAGTACATGGAGGGCCCCCCTGCACTACTGTATGACACTCCATCCGCCCCAGCATCACAATGTTCACAAGCTGTGCTGCTACCTCGAGGTATGTAGAAAGAACTTTTAAAGTTATGTCTATGTCTGAATCACTGATTCTCCAAATCAGCATCAAATCTTCAGCTGGATTGAATTCAGATTCAGCCGAATTGAATCAGGGACAGTGATCTGAATCAACGAATCGAATCCCTGTCCCTGATTCGGACGGAATCCAAATTGAATAGGGCCCGCTTCGCACACCCCTGCTCCCCAACTCTATCAGACTTCTTCTTGGGACACTTAGAGATTGAAGAGGATGCCATTTAGTAGCGTCACGTAATAGGGACCTCCCCTGTGACACTGCCCCAGATAGGACTGTCAGGCTGTGGTGGAGTCTGAAGACAATGCAACATGATAATGACCTGTGTCGAGTCAAAAGATGAAAACGTGTCCCACTTAGAATCTTAAGAAGTAGGTTTGCAAGTGTCCCAGAGGAATAGTTATGGCCACAGGGCATGCCTGTTGGAAAGCATGCCTGTTGGAAAGCGGAAAACAGGTTAAGAAATAGTTTGTCTAATGCTGCACCCACAGCAGAATGCCTCCTTCCCAGAATATCCCTTTGGATTTGAGTGCCTTTTACAGGTCACAGGGACCTGCATGGATAATAGTGTAGTAATTCAGAAGGCAGAATCCATATGATAATCCTTGCAGACCCCCATGGTCTGTTGCAGAGGGTCAGGAGTTGGGCAGGAGGCACTTCGTCACAATTAGGTCCATGACTGTGCATTATGAGAGACATCCGAAAAAACTACTTCACAGTTAGGGCGGCTAGGAGCTGGAACCAACTTCCAAGGGAAGTGGTGCTGGCTCCTACCCTGGGGGTCTTTAAGAAGAGGCTGGATGCCTACCTGGCTGGACTCATTTGAGTCCCGTTTTTGTTTTTAGGGTTTTTTGTTGTTCTCCCGCCCTGGCGGGGGGTCGGGCTAGAAGATCTATTAGGTCCCTTCCGACCCTAAAACTATGAAACTAAGATGTGATCTAGTAGAAGGATCAGCAAGCAATGGTCCCCTACTCTCACCTGGCATCTCACTGCTTCCAGTGGGACTCCAAGTAGCAGCAGGAGACTGCATTTATGGATAGGGATCATATGTTTGCATCTAAAGTCACTGGGGCTCCAAATGGGGGGGTTAAAGCAGCCTTGTGTTGGTGGGTTTCTTTGTAGGATCCCTTGATCTTACATGTTTTTGTCTTTCATCTCTGTCTCCTCACTGTTTTGGCAAACTATTTCACCATTGTAAGACTATTTCAAACAGATGTATGGAATTCAGATCCGAGTGGGGTCAGGGCAGTAGAAGTCACCGACAAGTTGATTTTCAAATGTTTTATTAATTAGCTTTGCCAAACAGATAATGGACTCCGGCGCTGCTTTGCTGGAAAGTTCTGATGCAAGTGCCAGCCTTATCTGACAGAGAATGCCTCAGCCACAGCAGGCACCACCGGGTTATGCCAACAGTTCAAAATAACATTTTAATTTTGTATGCAACAATGTAAACTTCAAAAATAGTAAACTCTTAACGGTTTTTCTCATTTTGTACATAGCGCATGATCTATCACAGATAGAAATTTAATGGCGAACCAAAATCGCGTAAGTAAACATCCTGGTGCTTACAAGTGTCATAAAAAGCGTTACATTTGATGTAACAATCTGACATTTCTTTTTATACTCACAGTTGTGGAGTAAAAGCAACTGGCAACTTGCCTTTTCAGCCTGCATTATTCTCATACTGTACATCACAAACCATGTTGCTCTAGCTTCATTTTTCATTTTAAATAGGGTCTCTCCAGACCCAGTTTGGCTTTTTTCTTTCTCAAACTGGTGTAAATTAAGAATAACTCCACACGGGGGTAAAACCTGTGCCAATGAGAAGAGAATCTGTTCCGCAGGGCACAGATTTGCAGTCCCTGAGCTCTCTAACTTCCCACTGAAATTGATGGCTCATAGGGACTCTCGTTGACTTCAGTGGGAGTTTTGGGAGTGCTAGGGCTCCAGGACTGGGCGCCATCATTGTAAGACTATACAGGTAACTTGTGGCATGACCTGGTACTACACAAATAAAGACTAGAGTTCTGTAAAAGGCACTATGTTTCTCTTGCATGATCTTCAGTGTGGATTGTAGTCATGTGCAGTATAAGGAAATTTGGGCTCTAGGCTGTTTCTCCTCTAATCCTTTAGTGCAAGCCTTTTAGCACTCCTACCTTGTTTTTGTTCCAGCACAGCTCCACAGAATGACTTAAGAACATAAGTGCCATACTGGGTCAGACCAAGGGTCCATCTATCCCAGTATCCTGTCTCTGACAGCGGCAGGAGTGGATGCTTTACAGGGAGAGCATATGAACAGTGTATCCCCTGTCATACACTCCCTGATATCCACCATATATCCCTCCCTCTGCACTCCTTTTCCCACCCCCCACCCCCCAGAAGATTTTCTTCTGGTTCTTTGAAAACTTTTAGAGTACAGCTCTGGTAATAAAAATAAATGTGGGATGTAGCATAGCATTTGTCATAAATCACAGTGTGCAATGCATCATTCAGTATCTAATGTTCAAAACATCTTCCCTGCTTCTCATGAAAATTGATCTTTAAAATAACATATGCAAAGATAATCTGCCTATACTTTACATTCATTTAAAAAGAGCTGAGAGGTTTTTGTTTTGCTTTCTTTCTTTTTTTTTTTTTTTAGTGGTACATTTAAGTGAAAGGTCTGATGTGAAAAAAGTGCAAGCAACTTGGACATGCCAAAACTTGATGTCTCTGTATCATATCAAAACTGTACAGGTATGTACACCATATTGGACATATGTGCTTCTTTGCAAGAAAATATCTTTGAAACATAGCATACAATGTTAATTACAGAGATTCAGTAAAAATAACATTAATGGGTGAAGGATGACATGGAGGGGCGGGTTCTCCTGCTTTTGTTCGGCAGTCCTGAAATGATGTCTCCATTCCCCTCGGGGATTTCTTCCTTCTTCCGCACTTTGAGGTGAGTGAGGATTTTCATTAGCCAGACATCCCATTCCTCTGGTAAAAGCAGCAGGAGGAAGCCCAGGCCGATGATGATGATGGCAATTACACGGACACTGTTGAAGACAATTTCACTCGTGTAGTGATCAACAACTGTATGGAACATTGAACTGATATTATTAAACAGGACAAAGTGTTAGGACAGTATCTCACACATCCACACACACACTCGCTCACTGCACCACATAGTACATTGATCTTAGCAAAGGCTGGATGCTAAAGCAGAGGAGCCTTGCTCACTCCGCAAGATTGGGTTATTCCACATGAAATGTTTGAGAACAACCCCTCTGGAGGCAGACTGGTGGGGTACAGTGCTCTCCTTGTTAGTATAACTTGGGCATTCAGGAACTGAGAGTACCTTAAGCCTGGAAAAGTCAAAATTCGCTTAAAGGCCCTGGAAAGGGATACCATCCATGCAATGTGAATGTGACATGGCTGCTGTTTGGCACATGTCCAGTGACGCTCTTAAATTCCCTGGCTCAGATATACATATTAGCATGAGCACAGGGCTGCTCTCATGCTAGTTAGGTTACATGTTTTGGACAGTGGTCCTCAGAGTGGACATGTCATAGACTAAGCATGTTCCAGAAGTGTGGACGGACCACCAAAAAAAAAAAAAAGCCCAAGGCAGACAAGCAATTCTGTGATATCTGAACAGGAGGGGATGGGTTTTAATTTCTGGCTGTTCCTGCTCTTGTGGGTATTGAGGTTACGTTGTGATTTTGCATCAGTTTTTGTGGGAAAAGGACAAGGACAAGTATATCTGAGAGAAGGCTGTGTTCATCCAATAAGCCCAGAGCCCATGTCACAAATATGTGAGCATGGGGGAGAGAATGGGTGCATACAGGTGTGGAGCTGGAGGACAGTCCTTGTTCCTACCCACCCTCTACACCAGGCCTGGTCAACCTGGGGTACAGATGCCACAAGTGTCATGGGCTGCCCTTGTGTGAGGCAGCACAGGGGCAGATAGGGCAGGGAACAGAAAACGGAGCAGCAAATCATGCAGGGAGAGTGGAGTGTGGAGCAGAAAGCAAAGCAGCAGATCAGGTAAAGGAAGAAAATGGGAGCAGCACTCAGGGAGGGTACAGGTCTCATTTGTGGTATGCCTGTCAAAAAGGCGGGTCCCCACTGCTCAACACTGAAGAGACAGGAGAGGTGAGGGCAATGGCAAGAGGCACATTGCATTTCCCTTTGATTCTGGAAAGCAGAAGGGATGGGAGGAAGAACCAGAGGAGTCCACCTCAGCCTATTTTCTTCTCTAACTTCTGGAGGAAGGGGAAGCCAGGAAGGTGGCAGCTGTAGAGAGAAGACACCCACAGCGGACAGTTCTCCCATTAGATGCTGTTACTGCTTTGGCTACTGCTAGGAAGGTTCAAAGGCTCATCAGCAGAGCTGGTCAGTTTTTCAATTGAAAAATGGCTTTTTTTCAAAACAAAAAACATTTCCATGGGGATTTTGTTTTATTCAAAATATTCCATGCTGCGAGGAAAGCACAACCATTTTTTAGTTTTGGAAACATGTTTTTTATTTTGGTATTTTACTGAAAATCCAGAAAAAAAATAATTTCTTGTGAAATTTTCCACAGAAGAACCATTTTCCAACTAGGTCTTCCAGTAAACTCCCCAGCTGGGTCCCAGCTCGTGCTGCTTTTCCTATTTGTCCCTCATAATATCATAGAATAGTAGGGTTGGAGGGACCCGAGGAAGTCCTCTAATACAACTGCCCTCAAGGTAGGATCAATCATGTCCATACCATCCCTGACAACTGTTTATTCTGTGGAATCAGAAAAAATATATGCCTTAAACTTTGATTATTTTAGTTATAAGATGACATAACCGCTTTGTGGAGAATTGCTGGCTCTGTATAGTAGAACAGATAAGAGAAAGTGTTTGTTCTTTGTAACTCCTCTGCAACTGCTTCTCTCACCGCGGCCTTGAAGATAGCAAAAAAGTATGTACAAATCTGATTTCTAGGTGCAAGAAGGAGGTTTGTGAACTAACCTCGCCTCCCCCATTAGTTCCCACCCTGATTACAGCAAAGAAATAATGAAGTAATATTATAGCTGCTTTTCATGCTAATTTCACTATATGATCACGTGAGTCGTAAGCATCTGTTAAAAAGTATATAATATGCCTCCTGATTTTGCTCTTGGGTGGGGACCCCTTCCAAGTGCTTGGGAAATCCATGTCACTTTGGAATCCCCCCTACAGCTGTAGTTTCTTTTGAATAAAAGCTTCTGCTGACCTGACCCAAAAGTATGCTGCGTGTGTTTCCACGACAATTCCTATCTGGAATAAAAATGGTCAGTCTCCATGAACAAGATCTACCTGGTGAATTCTCCCTACAAAGGTTGAGAACAACATTAAGCATAAATGATATTTTACTTGTTGAGGCAAGTAAGGGCTGGGCTATTTATATTAAATATCTCCCAGGATGATTTCTTAGTTTTATTGTAAGTAATTTAATTAATCCAAGCAGGTTTGACATTAGATGCACTCCTTTGATCTGGTGAAGAAAACATTCAAAATCATTAAGCAGCATATTTGAGTTAACAGTTTTCATCTAATGTCAAGGATGAGTGACTTCAAATCAAGTTGATTTTTCAGTAATCGAGCTTCTGTAGAGACCACTGCTGGAAATTCATATTTACTATATAATACTTGCTACAGAAAAATATACAAAGGATACATATTCAAATAAAAAAAGAAGTTCAATGCCTACCTGCATTTACAGGTACACTCAGTACGATTCCAAGAGATATCAATGTGGGATATGTAATAGCAATTCCAAAATTTAATATAATATTGAATGCTGGAATTAGAAAGAAAACCACCTTTAATTTTGAGATCCACAACTCTTGTGAAACAAACTCACTTTGCAGTAGAAGATGTTTCCTTTGAAATATTTAGTGGTATGTTTTCTCCCTCATGCAGTTTCTGCAGACACTGCAGCTAACTCCCATTAGGATTGCTGCACATTACCTACACACAAAGGTCCCATTCCTGTAATATGGTCTGTCTGGGCAGATCCCTGTGCCCACTGTGGGGGCCCACTTATGTCAGTGGGCTTCTTAGTGATTTCAGTGGGACTATTTTCACAAGAATACTATCATAGGATAAGGGTCAGAAAGATCAGGATGATATGAAGGGGCACAGCTAGATCCCCTTAGCAATCCCCCCCCCCAAGTCTATTCTGTGCTTCTATTTCAAAATGTAATTTCTCATAGAAGATATCCTGGGCAAAACAAACTTGTTTCCAGACATTTTTGCGTAACAACTGCTTGTGGATGATGGTTCCCCATACTGTAAATCTCAACTGTGATGGTGTTCAAACTGGCAGGCATTTGATAAACAACATTTCATTTTAATACTACACAGAATAAATACAACTTATGACAAATAAATGGGTCTTGCGGGACAAATTCATCCATGATCTAACTTCTGTGATGTCAGTACATCTATGCCGGGGTTGAATCTGGCTAACTGTCTGTGTTCTAATTCTGTTCTGCTGATAATAACTATTTACATCGTCTCTTTCACCCCACAGCGTGCCAAACGCTTTGCAAACTGTGGGCCAAACTCTGCTCTCATTCCTCAGACACCACTCCTATTTACCACTTGTAACTAAAATGCAGCCACTTCTGGAGTGGAACATGACAGCTTATTAAAAAGCATGTAGTTCTACACTATTATCTAGGATGATAAAAGGGAAATATTTCTCCAGCTGAAACTGAAAGTGACATTCTAGGAGGCAAGGTGCAGTTAACCACATTAGCAGTTGGCCATGGCACCAAAATTAACTCTGATAATCTTGCAAAGAGTACATTTAATGATTGCAGATAGTCAAGGTCAGCTTTTTATATCCTGTTCTTTCAGTATGAAAGTACAGTATTAACTAAAGTGAAGAGTGCCACCTACTGAACCACCAGCAGTATTGCAATACATTGGTGTTTTTCTGGCATTTCCTGTTCAGTTAGGGAACAGACACCATTGATGTCAATGGGAAGAGTCAGTCTGACTTAACTGCTGCTCGGGTGATGCCCTACCTGAACAGCCTAAGTCTGCTAAGTTAGGCAGGCCTCGCAATCCCGCTGTGCTATCCCCTTCCAACATAAGCATATTCCATTAGAGCACGGGCTTTTTTCACTTGAACTCATGCAGTGGAGTTTGTGAATGTGAATTACACTGAACTTTGTGGCTTCACTCCAGTAATACTTTCTCCTGATTGTGCTGCTTATTAATGTGATCTCTACGGCCACTACTGGGAATCTGTGTGACAGCACTAATCACAGGGGTAGGCTCTATGTTTGTGCACATGAAAGAGGCCCCTGGATGACTTCTTAAGCTAAGCTTTTGTATTGCACAGAAGTAACAGCATTTCAGAAAAATTGGACTTCCAGTGGCAGCCTAGCACTCTCCAATATCACTGAGGGGTATGAACTGATGACATTTACTTACTCAATAAGAGAATTGAAAATCCACAAAGGTTTCCCCAAGGAATGACATCAAAACCGCTCCAGTATTCCACTTTGGTAAAGTAAAGAATGACAGGAATACAAGTGACGAAAAGGACATTGAAGATACCCAATACAGACAAGAATAAGGCCGCTTCTCCAAATTTAGCGCTTCCCAGGAGAAGTTTGAACAGAACCTGCAAAAGAAAAATAAATGGATTTTGCTTTATCTCACTTCAAAACACACCTGGTGAGATGACCCTGTTTAGTTCCAGCTATGTACTAATGGAAGGAGAGTGCCTGTTGCTAATACAGTATAAACTATGTATGTGGCGGAGGCTTAACACTTTTTGGCTAGGGACAGAAGTGACACATAGACCGGTTTAAGTCATAAGAAACTGGTTTAAACCTGTAACAGGAGTTCAGTACACATAAACCAGTTTCAAAATGGCTGAAACTGGTTTAAGATAAACCTGATTCAGTGTAGTATCAGATTTAACTGATTTGTGTCAAACCAGTTTATGGAACTTCTATCCAAGACCCCTTCTGGTTCAAGTTAAATCACAGTCCCCCAGCATCCTGGCATTTTGCAGCCCTGGGCTGGGCTGTGCTGTCTGCTCCAGAGAGCAGGGCTGGCCTTACCCCTCCGTTCCCTAGCTGGAGCAGTGAGGACTAGCTCACTGGCCTCACTGGCTGGCTCACTGGCAAACCCCTGCTGGGGTCTGGTGCCAGGAAGGTGGGTTAAATTCACCTTCTCCCAAGTACAGAGCTGCCCTGCCCTGCTGGCTTACTTAGAGCTGGCTGTGACTGTGGACTACAAATCCCAGAGGCAGCTGGAAGCAGGAAGAGGAAGTGATGAGCAACCCTGCAGAGTCCTGCTGCTGTGAGTGGAGAGCCTGAGCAGGGTGCGGGGCCTGGGATGCAAGGAAGCTGGTGGCAGATTGGCGGCAGCGGGGGGGGTGTGCCAAGTGCCGGATATGCTGGATTCG